CATACACACACACACACACACACACACACACACACGCACACACACACACACACACCTGATGCTGGAAGCTGGTGAGCGGAGCGCGGGGCTGGTGGTGACTGAGTCGGGCCAGGCATGCCAGGACCAGGTGCACCACCCCAATGTCCAGCGCCATCCTCCGCAGCAACACGCCGTCGTCCGTGGTCAGCGGGCAGCTGTCAAACAGCGTCTTCAGCACCGTCATCGGCATAGTCGCCAGGGAGCTCGCCAGTTGGCACGTCAGTATTTGACCTAAGGGACACAAAATGGTTTTTAATTCATTCAATGCAGAGCGCTCCAGCCATGAAATTAGGTCTACCCAGGAAAATCAACGAAAACGAGCAGACTCAACGGCTGTTTAAGCAGACAAAAAGTCTCCTTGACCTTTCCCGTAATGCATCACGATTAGTTCAAATAACTTGGTATAGATTAGTTAAGAGTAATTCTTTCTATAGAGATAGCCAGGTAGAATGCGAGAATACTCGTCGCCAGCACTGAATGAGTTAATGTACGTGTTTTTATGCCTCCATGGACACAATATATCTGGGGTTTCAAAACAGGGCTATTTCACTATACATTAATACGATACTAATTAAGCTACCCCTCCCCCAATTTTTTTTTTATTAAATAAAACCCCAAAAGCATAGCTACAGGTACAAACAATCTGATAAGACTAAAAGCTATCCAACAGCTGACACACCTTCATCTTCCTCCGTAACCCATTCTATCTTCACACCCGCCTGAACTATAGTGCTAATTTCATAATTTGACAAGGGTTCATTATTGTTAACTAAACTAAATAACCTAACCTAATATTTAAAACCATTTCCTCCACCACAAATTTAATGACAGCCGCCATTTCCCATAACTATGAACAGAAACAAAAATGTTATTTTTAAAAAAAAAAAAAGGAGAAATACCTAGAAATCAAAATTGGCAAAACGAATAATTCCCCGACCGACCGACCACTGTTAACCTCCTCACATCTGTATAGACGTAAGCACTCTGTGTGTGCATGTGTTCTCAAAAATTGGGTCACTGCTATTTTTTCCTACTGGTCTACAGAAGAAAGTTTAGGAAATGTAGATACAACTCGTGCAGTGGCTTATTGTTACAGAAGGGGAAATGTATGACGACTGTTTGATTCTCTCTAGAATTAGGTGTCACAATGCAGTGGGATCACGCACTCCTCAATTTTGGGGGCATATAGAGTTACTGGTATCATCTTCAAATATGTTCATTTGTCTTGCTTTCGTTAAAAGAAGAGCCCATCTATCTGGAATAGAAGTAGAAATATTTGCAATTAAAGTAGGTGGGGGGTGGCCTGTGTCAGAGATAAAATGAGGAAGAAAAAGGCCACCAATGTTTGGTGAATTCCATAGCTTGAGAGTTAATGGGAACAGAAAATTTAGGCTTTTTCTGCCTTTATTATCGACATTTTTCAGTCAAATCCACAGAGAAATGTGTTCTTAAATAAGGTAATGAGCCCAAAAAACCCCCAATTTGATCAAAATTGCCAAACCGGCGGAAAAAGGTTTCTTTGGCTTTCTTATTTTGACGAGCGCCTGGTTTCCCCACGCTGCCTCATATTTATTATCTGGTCTGTGCAAACTTAGGTAGAAACGTCTCGGCAACGAAAGGGTTAAAAGAAAACTCAAAACCAGTCATTTACAAGCTGACTGCTGACGGTCAAGCGGCTATCTGAGCGTCCAAGAGCGCTGCACGACTCACCCCCGTCCCCGTCGTCCGTGACCCCCAGCACCAGACGCAGCAGGCACTGGGCCATCTTGCGCTCCTTGAGCAGCACCTCAGCGTAGCCCGGCAGTCGCAGGAACAGGCCGAAGGCGATGAGGGAGTGAGGCGGGATGGAGGGGATGAGGCGGGCCGACGGGTGTTTGCTCGACTTGGACGTGTGTGGAGGGGTGATGGGCTCCAAGAACGTCTGATGGATGGGTTCACAGAATTAGTTTGGGTGAGGGGTGGGAAATTGG